TAATGTGAGAGGGATGGAACCTCTGCATGTAGGCAAGGTTTCTTACATTTCACTTTCTAGTTGCTTTTCGAGCACCTGCATGCCCTGGAGCTACATTTTTAGTATCTCAAACATTTCATAATGCAATACCAGTAGGGTGGTAGCCTGAGATAACCTATGACATGGACCTGCCACAAAATGATGGGAGGATAGTACAAGTAAGAGCAGAGCACGAAAACTTTTGACTGTTAGCTAATTGGCTCTGAAAGTGGCAACAAGGCTACAGCTTCCACAGCCAGTGTACAAGATGTCAAACCTTTCTGCTCCTGATAAAGGGATGCTCTGGGTTTCAGCTTCTACTGCTAGTGTTCTCTTCAGCAAAGCTCCTTCACAGATCCAGAAAATGAGAACATTTGATCAACTCCATTGTTTGTTTTTCGCAGGTTTGAGTCAGGAATGAGGAATAGCTCTCAGTTCGAGACAGCTATTTCTTCATAGGGCTGGATTTCCTTTACACTGTCTCTGTGTCTGTTCCATTTAGCTACCTCCCTCGGATTTTTACAGACTGTTCAAGTTTAGTGGTTTAGGCAGGGTTGCCCTGAGGGAACTGCAAATATCTACAAGCAAAAGTGGAAAGTAGAATTCAATACCGAATTTGCATAACAGGCGACGGTAAATATCACTGACCAGGACGGAGGCCAGAGGATGCCTGTAAGAACGCATTACTGTAAAAACACTGGAGAAAGAAACTAGGATTGACTCTTTGACTTCCTGTGTTAGATGAAGTCTGTATTATTCTTTTGATAAAGAGGGCTGTTTCGATTACTCAGTTAAAAATTATTGAATAAAATGTACCTTTTCAAAGAATTAGAAAGGATTAGTCGGCAGTTTGCAGGATCTTGCATATTTCAAACTGTCCTTCTGGTGCATAAACATTTACATGCATTTTCTGTAGAATAGCATTTTCATATATATGCAGTCTAGAGGTTATGTGCTCATATATATACAGACAGTGACAAGTTAAAACCGAAAACAAACCAAAAAAAAGAGTGGAGAAACATGCGCAGATGCCCTCAGACAGGTGTACCAGAGGATACTCTGCTCTATGGCTTGTATAAAAATGCCCAGTAGGCCCAGTTGACCATGATTTCGGATCAGGATGGCAAGAGGAACAGATCTAAAGCCCTATTGGAGCTGGATTAGTTTTACTAGGAGCTTGAATTTGCACAGCTCCTTTATCCTCAAATTCAAATCAGGGCTATTGTAATCAGAACCATTTCTGCTAAAAGGCTAATTAGACAGAGAATGAAAATGAAATATCCTCTTGACCTCTTGCAGGACTGTGTGATTTCTGTCCTGTTGGGCAAGATTTGTTAAGTTGAATGAGGACACTTTACTAGCCTAATGCTATTCTATCTGGTATTAACTGGAAGTTTGTTTTGTTGTTGTTTGTTTCTAATTCTAATCTTAAAGTGGAAGTGTATGTCTGGGCTATCATTTTTTTATCCAGGCTATCTGGGTTAATTTGGATAAATTACACAGATACTTTTTCCTGTTGGCCAACTGAATCACTTACAAATTACATCACTGGACCTCCTGTGTTGAAAACCTTAAATAAGGCTTAAGTTACTTTAAAAGAGGGTTCATTATTTGGCATGGCTGGCAGGAGCTTCAGTCACAAAGACTGCTCAACCGGCTAGTGTATTAATGGGATTACTGACTAAAATGACCTCTGCATTTGGATCTATGGGAAAGACATTAGATGGAAACTGTGGTCACACATTCTCATGCATTAGAATGATATGTTGTTCCTCTGGTGACTGAGAATGTTGATCAGACTGTGTCCATCCACAATGCCTTAGAGAGGGACATTATAGTAGGACTGCAGTGCATAAACCCTTCATTACAAAGAGAAATGACCATCTGAGAGTTCAGTGGTGTGAAAACCATCAGCGCTGATCTACAAAGATGTGGAAATAAGTGATCTGGTCAGATGAGTCATCCTTCACCATATTCTCCACAACTGGGAGAGTCTATGTGCAGCATGCACAAAGAGAACAGTGCAGGCCTGAATGCCTGACCCCTACAGTGAGGGGTTCTGATGGCTCTGTTATGCTGTGGGGGGAGTTGCTGACATGGTTTGGGCCCGCTTGTCCTTTTAGAGGGAGGGGTCACTGCAAATCAATACAAAGTTATTCTGACTACTCAACTTATTCTATTTCCATCCTGATGGGTGTGGTCTCTTCCAGTGTCCCTCATCTACAGGGCACAAGGGGGTCACTGAATGATTTGATGACTATGAAAATGATGTAAATCATATGATATGGGCTTTGTGGTCACCAGATCTCAGCTAAATCGAACATCTCTGGGAGATTTTGGAGGGTGTTAGACAGATCTCTCCACCGCCATCATCAAAACATGGACTGAAGGAATAACTTGTGGAAGAACAGATTCCATCCCTACAGCACCGTAGCTGAAGCTGTTCTGGTAGCTTGAGGTGGTTCAGTACCTTACTATGACACTTTATGTCGTCTTATATGTTTGTGTACAAATATTTAGGCTTCCTGTTTTATCTATATACTAAGTATTATGCAATCTTTGAAAGGATGCTCATGGATTATAAAGATTTGGTAAAGTCCATTTTTATTTTTCTGGCCTTTTTTGAAAACTCTGATGACTTGATAAGTTCTCAAAGTAATCAGCAGATTCTTTGATTCATAATAGATAGTGACATCCCCAATATAGAGCATGATAAAGTGGTTTCATTTGTCAATTTTAGTGATAGTTAAATCATCGTTGTACTCCGTCCACGCTGTTGTTGTCAGTGTCACCAGAATGTAGGTCTCATTTGTTAAAAGAATTTTGATATATTATTTATTTATTTAATGAATTATGGAGGTTACTCGTGAAATAGTGCCTACTAAATCCTGCCCACCCCCAGTAAAAAGAATGTTCTTTCTCAGCGCTGCAGTCTTGCTGAGTTCTTGCTTAAAGAGAGTGCAAAGTGTCACAAATCTGACTCACCACTCAATGAAAAGAATAGAAAAAGGCTTGCTGCATTGTAATGTGTGATGAATGAAGAAGACACTATCCATGGATTTTCATCACAAAGACTGCTTTTCTAGTCATCAACGTTATACAGCCTTTGATGTTCTGTTCCATTAGCATTACATGCTATGTTCGGTTAACATTCCATTAGTGCAAAAGAAACATTGTGAAGAAGACAAGGCCTTCATCTTCTGTAATTTGTGCATTGAGTGGTGTGTGAAGTGCTATGAGTCAGATTATACTACTTTGTTACATAAGACTGCAGCTTGTTTTATGTCCTGATAAAGAAGGTTATGGTTTGCTTGGGCTTGTGATTATGATGTGATGTAACACAACAATGCTGTGTTACTGTTGAAGCAATACCCCAGCATTTGTCAACCTTATCTCAGCACATGGACAATAACTTTGAGACTTGTTTCCCTGCACTTATAAAACGAAACGAAAACTTGTTGGCTGAATTGCTGAAGCAACTGCCCACTGGCTTCTTTTATAAGGAGGGCTTTCACTTTCAATCATATTAGTAATCAAATAACCAACTGATTTTGATGATTAATCAATTAATTAGTGTGTATTTTTAAGGCCAAATCATAAAGTGGTCATGAATGAACAATAAGACAATGGTTAAGACAAGGATTAAGCCTAGTCTAGGATAAAACTGCAATGCCAGTTGTGTTTCACCATCCCATTTGGTCCATGTTTAGGCTTAATCTGGGTCTGGGAAACTCAATTTAACGCTGTTAAAGTCATTTTAATGTCACCAGTCACAGTCGTTCATGTCATAATATAGTTGGATTTAATCCAGAACTCTTCACTTTATAAGTACTCAGAGTACCACCACTATGTACCACTGCTTGTTTCCACTACCACTTCTATGGGAATGCTATGTTATCACCAACCTAGCAGGGATTCACACTCGCTTCCCACACCGGACTTAATACTACTTAGGCCAGCTTGATTTAAACATAATTTAAAGCATTTGAAACTTGTAACATTCAAGTGTCATATTCTTTACTTTGTATGTTGCAGTTTTTCAGTGAATCCTTCAGTAAAGCCTAACTGAATATTACTAGAGTAGTCTGTTAGCCTGCTAGCTGTCTGCTGAGCTGATCAGCCTAGACCTAGTTAAACAAAACTGTTTACTTCATATACACTTTTACTCCATATACACACAATACGTAACAGCAAACACTTAATTTGACTTCATATGCATGACATTTGCACTACAAATGTATGTGTCTTAATGAGATCCTGCTAGTGTGGGTTTCCTCTCTTTCAGTGGTGCACACAAAAGCAAGTTGAATGCTAACAGTGCCCTTTGTGGACAAGGTATAAAATATGGCTTTAGAATGACCAGTGGCTGCCTTACTTAGAATTCAAATTACAATCTAATCATTATGTGGATTCATCAAGGGCGTAAAATTTAAATCGAATTGTAAACAGCTTTGATTGAGTAATCATGACGGTCCTATTTAGTGTTTTAAAAGTTAAAAAATGCTGCAGTGTTCCTTTAATTTACTATGTCATTGGTCAGTATGTTTGAAATACTACAGGGAGATTCAGTTGAAAGAGGCCCTGAATATTCTGTTGTAACTCCCGTTAGGATGAAGCATCTGAACCAAAAAAATACGCTACATACCTTCACGTATGTGTAATCGTTTGCCTCACATGTGATGCTGGAAGTGATCTCCGTTTTCTGCCAGACACATTTCGACGTGCCGCTCCATGTTCCTGAACGTTCCTTGCCTGAACAACGGCGCCTACCTCATCACTCCGATGCAGGGGCATCCCGGCTTGTTTGAAGCTCCATATACTGAGGAGCACATTGCAGTTTGTTTGGTTCAGATTGCTTCGTCCTAGCGAGAGTTATTACAGAATATTCGGGGCCTCTTTTGAGTGAACCTCCCTGTATTTTAGTAATACTTTGAATGTTCACATTTGTACAAAATAGTAACATAATTTTCTTGTTTGAACAGCCTAGATCTCTAAGGTACCTGGACACAGTCCTTTTAGTGAGTAATTACCATGTGTAATTTCTTCATTAATACTTGATAAACTCCTTTCTTCTCCTAAAATAAAACCCACTTATTTTCTTCTGTTTGAGAGGCGGAGCAGCCATGCCATTTGGCTGTTTGACCTTCGGGGAGAAGAAGGATTACAACAGTCCTTCTGAGGTCACTGATAAATATGATCTGGGACAAGTGGTCAAATCGTAAGCATAAACTCTGCCTCTTTCCTTTTTTAAAGAGGTAATTTAGATCTTTAATGAAATTTTTAATTGTTCAGAGTGGTTTGATTTGCACCATTGTAGAGAAACACAGTGGTGGTGATAGGAACCAGACGTCTGAAGCAATGCCTCTGAAAGCCCCCTCACAGAGCGTTATTACGTAAAATGGTTGTGAATACACTTTCTGATACCTAACATATTCTTTTATGATAGTTCTTGGGGGGTTATCCTAAAACATATTTTTTTAAATCTTCATGGCAGAGAGGCCATGCAGGGTGTTGTAAGACAAAACAGGCAAAACTTTTTTTTTCAGATTTACCTCTATTTTACCATACATACATATAAAACCTCAGAGGTTCACTGATCATTTTGAGGGTTAAATAAAATGGGTATATTTGCGCAGGCACCATGACTCTCGGGTCCTATTAGCACCACTGTGAAGGAATAAGAACCTTTAAGTTGCTCTACAATAAGCCGTTTCACATCAAACCGCTCTGAAAGACTTTGTTTACGTCTCAGTGACTCAATAAACTGTAGAATTTTTTTCATATTTTTGGGTTTTGTGTGAAATGCAATATCATCATTGTAGATTTATAGGTTCTGTCAGTTATAGATTGAATCATAGGTTCACTGGTATGTTTGCTGTCTACAAACAGGGAGGAGTTTTGTGAGATCTTTCGGGCGAAAGACAGAAGCACACAGAAAATGTACACCTGCAAGAAGTTCCTGAAGAAAGACGGGAGGAAAGTGCGCAAGGCGGCCAAGAACGAGATTCTCATCTTGAATATGTAAGATGCTGCGGTTAGATTTTTTCAGTTTTGGGGCTGTTCGTTTGGAGCCACCACAATACAGCTGGTTCATTTCTAAATGCTCATACTGGGAGCTTTTTTTATTTATTTTAGAGGAGAACGAATGCTGGCCTCTTTGTAAAACCCTTTTCTCCTCTGTTTCCTGTCTCACAGTCACACTCTGTCTCTTGCTCTCTTATCCTCGCAGGGTGAAGCATCATAACATCCTCCAGCTGGTCGATGTCTTTGAGACAAGAAAAGAGTACTTCCTCTTCCTGGAACTGTGAGTGTTTCTGAAGTGTGAGAGAGAGAGACAGAGAGAGAGAGAGAGAGAAAGAGAGAGAATGACTAAACGAATAAGGGCGAGTGTAAGTGCTGCCGAGACCTCATTAGAGTCTGTTTCATGTGAAGGAACGTTACTTGCTGCTAATAACTGTGCATTTAATAAAGCTAATGTGAGCTATGATATTTTCCCATTAGTTCATTATTAACCTGGTTCCCAGTTGTGATCCCCGCATGTTCTGTTGTTTTCTCTGCTCTAACCTGATTTAACCAATCAGCAAATGAACAAGCCCTCCCTGGGTTGAAGTGAGCCGACTAGTGGCTGTTTGTGCTGTTATTTCTACTGTTCTCCATTGATAAACTTCTGATTTCTGAATGCTGTTGTTGTGTTTATGTAACATGTAAAGAATGTGATCTAAAATTTCTATTCAGAAAACACACAGGCTTATAAGTCACACATCAGTCATGCTTTATTGTTACTCTGATTAAACAAATCAGTAACAAAGAGCTTCCCGATCTGAACTGCGCTCTGAATGAGCTCGCGCACTTGCTTGGAAAAAACATGGTGCATCCAACAATAAAGCAAGCCTTGTGCATCTTTATACAGTGATAGAAAACATGGTAGAGCACAGAAAGCTCTGGTTTTACACGCTGAGATTAAATAAATGATTTCATGGTTGCCTGTGGATTTTTTACTGTTGCCAAATTTAAACGAGCAGTTTTCTTCTGGCGGGGGGGGCTGATAATGGCCTCATCAAGTTCACGTAGTTGATGGGGAATTTCACCTGTGTTTTTTTTTTTTAATTTATGCATAATTATATGACTGAGATGTAAGCGAAGTCATTCAGAGTGGTTTGATGTGAAAAACTCAGAATTTTTCACAGTGGTGGTGATAGGAACCAGACGTCTGATGAGCTTAATGCCTCTAAAAGCTAACTAACAGGTTACGAATCCACTGCTTGATGCCTGAGACTTTATTTTATTATAGTTCTGAAATAAGTTTTTAGCATTTTTAAAAATTCATACATGACAGAGAGGCACATGCAGGGTGTTTAAATGTAAAATAGGACCCAAAAAGCATATTGTTTCAGACTAATCACTGTATTAATATTACCAGCATTAGAGATAAAAAACATGTATAGGTTCACAGGTTGTTTTGGACTTTTAATAAAATGGCTGTGTTTGTGTTTCACATTTTGACCCCTATTCCTATCACCACCACTGTAAAGAAATCAGAGTTTCTACAATGAACCATTTCACATTAAAACCACTCTGAATGAGTTTTTTACACAGAATTTTTGAAAAATCAGTGAAAGTGCCCTGACACTACAATGTGCAGAGCAGGGCACTCCAGGGCCAGGGTTGGGAACCAGTGAGCTAAGAGCTGATAGTAATACCAGCTGCAAATGTGTGCAAATTATTAAACTTTGGAATTGTATTTGTGTTATAATACCTATATATGCCAAATGTAACAGAATCATCCCAAGATTTGCTACAGCACAGGTTCCCAACCTTGGTTCTGGAGTTCCCCTGCTCTGCACATCTCCACCTTGCACACCCACTTCAACTCAGGGAAGGCTGTTAATGAGCTGGTCCCAGTCTCCCAAAAGCAACTTAGTGTTAGGATCATCTTAACTGGTAGACAGATTCTTCGCGCTCTTCCGTTTAAGTATAATCTTTGTGCTAAGGTGCTCTTGGGAAACCCTGCCCTGATTAGATGGATCCTTTTTGCGAGAGCTGAAAAAACACTAAAATGTATAGGGCAGGGGTTTCAGGACCAGGGCCGGGAACCACTGTGTTACAGATCATGTTAGATTAGATTAGTTCTGATGATGTCACGATACTGTTATTTCTTTAGATAGATAGATAGATAGATAGATAGATAGATAGGTAGGTAGGTAGGTAGGTAGATAGGTAGACAGACAGACAGACAGACAGACAGACAGATAGATAGATAGATAGATACTTACTTTATTGATCCCGAAGGATATTTAGCAAGTTTGCCAGTACTGATGCTCATGAAACCTTGAATATAGGCCCAATATTTATAACACTGTTCTAGCTCAGGAAGAAATACACAGCTAACATCACTGCTCCGATATCATACAGGTATCAGCATTGGGCCAAAATCAGCAGAAAATGCAGGACCATTTTAAGGGAAAAAACAATCCAATCCAGTGTTTTCTGCTGATGTGGTATCAGATTGGTGCCATCTCTGTCTAGTACATTTTTTCTTCTGATATCTGATCCAGCTATTTCTGCTTGTATCATCTCAATACCTACAGTGGGTGTCGGATCATTGCCATCTCTAGCTGAGAGCAAAGGCTTTCTGGAGCGCTCATGCAATCCAAGTATCCCCGTTTAGAAATGACACAATTAATACAATCATTTTTTACTTTCACTGCATGACATTGTGCCCAGACAGCAATAAGCATTCTCTGGCTGGGTAAGATAAACACTGAAAAGTATCTCATGATTAGTGTGGTGAGCCATCGAGTTGAATACAAGGTGAAATTTCCCTTTAACCACAATGTTTCTGACAAGCTGTATCTTGTGTCTTGATCTATATCTCTCTCACAGAGCCACAGGCAGGGAAGTGTTTGACTGGATCTTGGACCAGGGCTACTATTCAGAGCGTGACACTAGCAATGTGATCAGACAAGTGCTGGAGGCTGTGGCTTACCTCCACTCTCTCCGCATCGTGCACAGAAACCTGAAGGTAGCCTGCTGCTTTACTCCCATCAAGTGGTTACAGGTGGTATTACACCAGTAAGACAGCGCAACTGTTTTTTGTTTAGTTTCACCTTAAGGGTTCTATATTTGCGCAGACGCAAGCACAGTTTAGGGGTATAACGTCAGTATATTTCTGATTTGGTTGAATGCAAGCCAAATGCTTTTGCAGGAAGGTTACTATTTTATATGAACTGAAATGATACTGCCTTCACAAATGTGAAATAGTTTTTTGAAATCTGTATTTTCCAGCCCACTTTGGTCTATAGTTGCAATTTCATTCATAACGCCAGACCCACTCTTAGCGCAGAAGGCCAAAGGCTTTTTTCCTGTCCTTAAAGTAGAATTCCACAGATTTGTCAAACTATCTACATAATTCAATCTTGAAGATGCAAAGAAAGTCATTCAGAGTGGTTTGATGTAAAATGGTTCATTGCAGAGAAACGTACAGACTCCCCTCACATCACCACTGTGGGCAACACTGGTTTAACTGATTTCTCTAGAGTGGCTTATTTCATATCCAAACACCCTGAATGACTGTTCATATCTTACCCATTTAAGTAAGCAGACATTTTGAAAAATCGGTGGAATTTCCCTCTGGTCGAACGTCCATTTTTGTGAATGTATGTACAGTGCTGTGAAAAAGTATTTGCCCCTTTGCAATTTCCTCTATTTTTGCATATTTGTCACACTTTAATGCTTCGGATCATCAAACTACTTAACCCAAGTAAACATAGGCTGTTTTTAAATGATGATTTCATTTATTGAAGGAAAAACGCTGTTCAGTCCAACCTGGCCCTATGTGAAAAAGTAATTGCTTACTACTCAACTAGTTAACCAAATTCAGGTGACTGTTGAGTTCAATTTCACTAGCCACACCCAGGCAAGATTACTACCTGACCTGTTGGATCTAAACATCACTTAAATAGAAACTTTTGGTATTGTGAAGCAGCTAGAAGGTCTCAAAAAGCAGAACATGATGCCACCTTCTGAAGAGATTAGAATGCAAAACAAAGGCATTGAAATCTATCAGTTTGGACAGGGTTAGAAAGCCATTGCTAAGGCTCTGGGACCCCAGCAAACCACAGTAAGAGCCATTATCAACAAATGGAGAAACCTTGTGGTGAACCTTCCCAGCAGTGGCCGGGAAAGAGCGCATTGACGACTCATCCAGACAAACATCTAAAGAACTGCAGGCCTCACTTGCCTCAGTTAAGGTTAATGGACATAATTCCACAATAAGAAAGACACTGGGCATAAATGGCATCCATGAGAGAGTTGCAAGGCACAAACCACTGCTGACTAAAAAGAACACAAAGACAAAATTAAGATTCTGGAGTGGCCAAAGTCAAAGTCCTCATTTGAATCCCATTGAGATGCCATGGAAAGACCTTAAACAGCATGTCCATGCTCAAAAACCCTCCAATATAGCCAAATTAAAACAAATTTGGAAAGCACAGTGGGCCAAAATTCCTGCACAGCAATGTAAAAGACTCAAACGTTTGATTGCAGTTGTTACTGCCAAGGGTGGCACAACCAGTTAATAGGTTTAGGCAATTACTTTTTCACATGGGTTATATAGGTTTTGAATAAATCTTTACCTTCAGTAAATGGAATGATCATTTAAAAGCTGCATTTTGTTTACTCATGTTGTCTGTATCTTACATTAAAATTAGTTGGATGATCTGAAACAGTTAAATGTGACAAATTAACAAAATAGAAGAAATCATGTGGGGACCAATACTTTTTCACAGCACTGTATATCACCCCACCCCCATATAAATAATGAATATAGATAAAGATAGACTTCTTCATTCAACTACTAGCTAAATACAACTGACTGAAGTATTTTGTCCCAAACAAATAGGACAGAACAACTTGTAGTCACTAAATGTGAATCTGACAGTCTGTCATCACACACGGAACATCTTATAATAGAATCAACAATGACAAGATGAAGAATATATCTGCTACACCCACACTGCAATTATGAGCCTTATTTTTGTGTTTGTATTATGATCACAAAAACAGGACCCTTAGAATCCTTTCATACCGATACGACATTTTAGACTTTCACCATACGCTGATCAATCTCACAACACTGTACTACTTTCTCTTCTCTCTTCTAGTTGGAAAACCTTGTTTACTACAATCGCCTGAAGCACTCTAAAATCGTCATCAGCGATTTTCATCTGGCCAGACTGGAGAATGGTCTCATTAAAGAGCCCTGTGGCACTCCAGAGTACCTTGGTAAAAACTGTCATACGTAGGAGGTTATATGTATGCGTATGGTTATATACATAAGTAGCAACCCATATGAGAGTATGTTTGCTTTCCTTCACTGTAGCTCCAGAGGTAGTTGGCAGACAGAGATATGGCAGACCGGTGGACTGCTGGGCCATTGGAGTGGTCATGTATATCCTGTAAGTATGAATCTTCTATGTTCTTCAGCAATGGCCTCAAGATTTTGCTAGCTTGTGTGTTTTCTGTTGTAGGTCCATGCATGCATTCTCATTGTCGTTGTGTATACAGTACTAGGCCAAAGTCAGGGACCACCCTTCATTTCTTTAATTGTATTTCAAAATGGCCAATAAAGAGAAGTTGTTCATTTTTAGCGTCAGCGGAAAAAAAGAAGAAAATATACAGAAGCTTCAACAACTAAATATGATATCAACTTCTTCAGTGTTTTTCAGTAAAATGTGTCTTCGCCTTTATTACAGTCTCCATTCTATTCAGGAGACTCACTTTCAGTTTTTCAAAGAAATTTACAGTGAAATTTTTTTCCACTCCTCCAAAGTTCAGTTGGTAGTATTTTCTGTTTCTCACGATCCGAGTAATCCCACACCAGCAGCTTATTTGCTTGATTTATAATTTTTTTTCTCCAGTTTTCTCCCAGTTTTGTCATTGCCAGTTCCTTCCAGCTAACTAGGTCTCCCCCATTATGCTATGCTACCAGTTTGACAGGGTAAACTGCCACTAACACGACATAATTGGACAGCTCAGCATGCTTAGAGTAGAGCGCTAACTGCCAATTCTGTTACATTAGCTAACAGTGTATCACTCTGAATGATGGGGAAAGGGAGGACCACCCTACACCTCAGAAAAAACGGTATGAAACTGCCACTGAGGCAGTTCCCCTCTTGTCTCTGGGATGGTACCATCAAGGGTACATCTACGTACCTTTAGTCAGGGCACATAATTGTACCATAATCCATTGAATTTATATTTTCTTGTATTGTTGTACTGACACACCCCGTCTCGTCTCCAGGCTTTTTACTTTATTGTTCTGTTTTAAAACTTGAGGTTATGAAAAGGTACAAATTCGTACTTTTCACCTGGAAAAACGTATTTAAGGTTCACAGTTGGACCTTAAATCCCACTGCTGTGCCTTTGAGGATCATTTACATTGTTTGGACCTTGATAAATGAAAAATGTACCTGCACAGAACCTTTATTTCTAACCACTCAAAGATAGAGAGGAGAATTATGCTCTTTTGCTCTCCCAGCCATGTACGGTTGTGGCATTACAGAGAATCAAATTTGCAATCACTCAACTATGCATTATTTATATATTACAAGGCCTATTGGAATTGCAGTATAGTAATGTGTCTATATCACAGTACTAGTAATGTGTCTATATCAAGTAGCCGTACTAGCCAATCGAGTCCATATAGCTGAATGAAACTCCCTTTCCTTTCTAGTTTCCTTGATTGTGCCTGAACTGTAGCACATGGCTTCACTGAACATGATAGCAGAGCTGACTGGCATGGATTCACATGGTTACCGGGTCAGGAAAAATCAAGAAGAGCAGATATGAAAGGAAGCATTATTAAGCTATTTGTATGCAACTCCTCCTGGTGTCGTACTCTTCCTGCTGTAAACCAATGTTAAAATAAGCCCAATGGAAAGCAGCCAGTCAGAAAGCCTGTCCAGAATCTGGGTGAATATGAAAGTGTCAGTGAAGTGAATCGACCTATAACTGAAAAGAATGACGTCCAGACTTCATGTATACACCGATCAGGCATAACATTATGACCACCTCCTTGTTTCTACGCTCATTGTCCACTTTATCAGCCCCACTTACTATATAGGTGCACTTTGTAGTTCTACAGTTACAGACTGTAGTCCATCTGTTTCTCTGCATACTTTGTTAGCCCCCTTTTACCCTGTTCTTCAGTGGTCAGGACCCCCATGGACCCTCACAGAGCAGGTGCTATTTAGGTGGTGGATCATTCTCAGCACTGCAGTAACACTGACGTGGTGGTGTTGTGTTAGTGTGTGTTGCGCTGGTCTGAGTGGATCAGACACAGCAGTGCTGCTGGAGTTTTTAAACACCTCAGTGTCACTGCTGGACTGAGAATAGTCCACCAACCAAAACTATCCAGCCAACAGCGTCCTGTGGGCAGCGTCCTGTGACCACTGATAAAGGACAAGAGGATGACCAACACAAACTGTGCAGCAGCAGATGAGCTATCGTCTCTGACACTCACAAACTCCAGCAGCACTGCTGTGTCTGATCCACTCGTACCAACACAACACACACTAACACACCACCACCACCACATCAGTGTTAGTGTCTATAATGAGCGTAGTAACAAGGAGGTGGTCATAATGTTATGCCTGATCAGTGTATGTTTCTGGGCAGCACATGATCATACATACAAGGAAATCTGTCTTGTGTTTTGGTGCTTTCTGAAGTCACAGCAGCCACAGCAGTCATTGGATGTGCACACAGCATGTTTGTCTGTCACTTTCCATCTAAAGACTTCATTGTGAACCTGTGAGTATGTCATTTTACATTTGTATTGTTCTGTCTTTTATGGGTCTTTTTACTGTGCCTGTGTATTGTTGTAGAAAAACTTTTATGTTGAGATGTGTTCCTTTCTAAGGCTAATATAATGAGAATGCCTCTGTAATCTTTTTCAACAGACTGTCAGGAAACCCTCCTTTTTATGATGACGCAGATGACGATGATTATGACAGCCATGACAAGAATCTGTTCCGGAAAATTCTATCTGGAGACTATGAGTTTGACTCACCCTACTGGGATGACATCTCAGATTCCGGTATGATGACACACTGCAGTTTTTGGGGAAAAATGAACTTCACTCGGTTTACTTCACCAGCTTGTCAAACTGACTTATCGAAGCTGAAAATCTGCAAAAGCAGAAACGTGTTCACTCAGAACTGTTACAGAGCAATAAAGTCAGGTTTTCTGTTTTTCAGCTAAAAGCCTTGTTGCATCTTTAATGGAAGTAGATCAGCATCAAAGACTGACTGCACAGGAGGCTATCAACCACGAGTGGTAGACCCCCTCTTCATATACATCAGACATGCTGTTTTAACCTTTTATATACATCATTTTGCCATTAATGTATCATATTTGTCCTTTTTGTACATCCCTTCTGTAGGATATCTGGGAACGCTGCTTCAGACAAGAACATCAAGGATGGCGTATGTGCTCAGATTGAAAAGAACTTTGCTAAAGCTAAATGGAAGGTGAGTCTATATTCATATCATAAAAAAGGGTCACCAATCTTATCCATAAAGGATCAGTGTGGCTGCAGGTTTTCGTCCCTGCTAGAAAAACCAGCATAGACCAGTATAGCTGGTCACCACCGAAACCAGGATATGCTGTGTTTTGGATGCTGGTCAACAGCTAAACCAGCACCAGACCAGCAATAGACCATGAATTCCATGCTGCTCTAAGTTTCAGCAGGAATTCCAAACCAAGCAGGAGCAGAACCTCATACATACTAGCATTTAAAATCATTTACTTTATTCACAATTTTTGCTATTTTACATACAATAACCTTTACAGTGCGGATTTAAGTATTACAAACTATTCGGCAAACAGTATTTTACCTTTATTTAAAATGTGAAGAATTCTGTAAACAGGAAGTGAATAAAATGATAAATAATATACTGCCATTTTTTATTTACATCCATTCATACATTCTGTGATCTCCACTTTTTAAATGTAATTAATTCTGGATATTAATATTATTACAACTTAATTGTCGATGTTCTACTGTAACGTGCCAGGAGGATTCAGACGCAGGCTTTACTGTTCGAATCACAATCTAGGTTTGTGGTCAATAAGGTGTTGGTCAAATCCAAAAAAGACATCCAACACAAAAAGACAAACATGACAGAAGGCAGTGAGTCGAAAAAACAGGCAAATTACGGTCGTACACAGGAACGATAATATACCGAAAAGACAAACGCTCAGTAGAGCTAGAAAGATACAATACCTCGCCACTACAGTATGCTAAAGCCCGGGCTTATAAGCTAAACTATCATGGTCATATGACAGACAAGACAGGTGAATCAAGTAGGTATTCTGGTGAAAGAGAGCGCTGATTGGAGTGTAAGGAAAGTTCAGGAGTCACTTGGGTCATGTGATCTCACCAGAGGACTCTGGGAGACGGAGCCCGAGTGTGTCTCAGAGCGTGACATCTACAGCTTTCTCAGTCCTTTTAGAATCTTCTACAGCTCTATTCTTCATTCAGGACTCATCAAATGTTTCTTCATTTGCTAACACTTTATTTGGATGGTCCACTGTAGATGCTTTGTAAATGCTCAGTATATCTTTAAGTAACATTCAACTAAATATCCATTAAATGCAATTGAACTTCAAGTTCAGTGTGAATTTATTAAATCTATCCCTGACCCTGACACTAACCTTACCCTCAAGGCAAAACCTACATCTACTCCTAAACCTAACCCTAACAATAATGTTGTTGATAATCAACTGAGTATCAACAGAAGGTTTGTTTATCATTTATGTTTATCTTTAGAGCATCTGTAGGGAACCATCCAAATAAAGTGTGACCCTTCATTTTTATTTACAGTGTCTTAGTGTCCTACTAATTATCTGAATCCTGTGAAATTATACATGATGTTTATTCTATGCATGTATCTGAAGCTTATGTAGTCTTACATCATTGAAAATGTTGATTCCAAGCTTTTGAACACTAAGGTAAGTATTATACTGAGGCCAACAAATTAAAGAAGTGGATTCAGTTGTGCTTCTGCTTGATTTGAATGAAACCTGTAGCCACGCCGTCCCTCTGTGGATAAGATTGGTGACCCCTACAATAAATGAATGCTTAAAGATGATACATTCCTCTCACCTCATTATCATTTCTAATTTACATACAGTACATCAGTGAGATCTTAAACAGTGAAAAAAAAGCCATAGAAGACATTGTATAGTTTCTGCCCACTGTCTACTGAAGAACAGAATAAAAAAAAAAGCTGAAAAAAAATATTTTTCCAAACCTTTCCCAGATTTTTCCAGTGGACGTCTTTTTTTCAGTTTTCCCAGCGTTGAGTGAATATGAATACACAAAGAAGTACAAATTCAATCACAGCTCATTGGTGGACACAAAGTTTGCTGCTTGGTTGATGAAAATAAGAAATGAACATGGCCTTAAATTGCATTATAATGGTTGGAATTCTGGCCTAAAACGATTATTTAATTTGTTATATACTTTACTGTGTAATGTTTGTAGTGCAGTATTGCATCTCTCAGCCTCAGACAGACTTCACATTATTGTATTGTTTCTACATTTTCAATCTATCGCTACATCAATCAGCATTTTTTAATTTTTTAAAAGTTCCTCCCACCTTCGATATACATCATCAGAGGGAGTTTTTGTACTGTATAGTTATACTTTATACTTTTATACTTATATACTATAAAATATTGATATATAAACTATTCTGACACTACTTTACGAGGCAGGTAGGAATGTTTACAACAGAAGCAATATTTTATTTTTCATTTACCCCTTTAAATTAAACAAGCCTTGATCTATAGATATCCTGTACCACAGGCTAAAACTACAGCGTGCATCATCTTGTTTTATCCAGAAAGCAGTGCGGGTGACCACCCTAATGAAGAGGCTCCGAGCTCCAGACCAGAGTGACTCTGGGGCGTCCAGTCCAGCTTTAGGAACCTCGGCAGGGCCGGTCACTCCGAGCAGCACACCCGTTCCCTTGGCCGCCACCCCCGAGCCCCCCCACAGCACCCTTGAGGTAAAGGTGGAGGAGGCCGCAGCTCCAGCTCGGTGTAATGGAGAGGTGCCGCAGCTTAGCGTGGAGACCAGAGAGGAGCAGAACGGCTAACGAGGGAAACACACAAAGACAAACATGCTCACTGTACATAGGAAGACACACTGAAAGCTAACGGTCACATAAAGCTACATTGTCGCATTGCCACTCATTCCATTTGCGCAATCCCTTCCCTTGTTGTTTGTCTCCATTGTAAGTTTTCAAGTTGTTTACTTAGAAAATGAGTTGAGTAAACGTATATAAAGTCTGAAAAGGCATTATATTTAAAAAGGAAAGATTCTGATGTTTTTCTTCTTTTTATTTGTGTTATAATTATTTATGTGTTCCTATTAAAGAACAGATTACTTATAAACTATTTAATAATGTGAGAAAAAGAAAGAGAGGGCAATTTTTATATTCCAATCATTGCTGTCCTGTTTTAATGGGAGGTATTTTCTGATGAGGAATGCAGTTTGACCTGCCTTTATTTTATATGCGCTAAGGACTGATAACTATTTCAGTCACTGTATTCGAGTTGTTAGTTTAGGATCAACAATCAAAGAACACAAAGAGCAGGAGCAACCGTATAAGAACGAGTCTGTATGTTTGAGTGTGTATCTACTGTAGATGACGGTACAGTAGTATTGTTCTTATGTTCATAAGGTTGTGGAACCTGTGAACCTTGTACTTTTCACTCTGAAGTAGCATTTCTAGTGATATATCAAACATTTCATCCACTTAATGGAGAATTTTACTCTTTAATTCATCAATTTATGGTTACTATCCATTCAGATAGGATTATTACAATGCAGTAACATTTCTGGTTGTCAGTGGTTCATAGCATTAGTAAAGATGTCCAAAGTACTGTTTCTATTTTTTTATTTTTTATTTTTTCCCCCAGTATTTAGTGCGTCCACTCTTTACCTTTATTACAGCTTCCATTCTCTTTGGGAGACTCACTTTCAGTTTTTTCAAAGAATCTGCAGACACACCTCCAAAGTTCAGTCTTAGAAGTTGGTTGATCATTTTCTGAAGTAATCAAACCCATTCAGTGGTGTTGAGGTCTGGACTCTGGGGTGGTCAGTCCATCGTTCAGCTTCTTTGATGTGTCTGTCTCCTTTTCTCAGTGAGGTTCTTCTTGACAGCTACACATCCTTTCAGACCCATAGCGCTGAGTCGTCTTCTCACAGTGGAAGGATGGACAGAAACACCTGTAGATGTTTTCAGATTTGAAGCAGCTTGATTTTCTCCTCTCTCTCAAAGATGGAAGCTTTAAGTGCTGTTTATCTGATGGGGGCAGTTTTGGTGTCTACCAGGTTTTGCGGGTGGTTGTTAGGAGTCCCATTTCTTATGGCCGCTTTGGTCTTTTGCGCTGTAATGTACATTAAAATAAATAAATGGACAATTCAAAGAGGAAGTGTTTGCTTATGATATTTATGTAATGCTGAAAAGTTTAATTCTCCATTAAGTTCATGTGAACCTCATATAAGTGTCATTAAAAGTGCAAGGTTCAAACCAAGGTTTTTCTTCCCCCCAAAGTGCACCACTGGTGGTGTAAAGGTACAGTTTTTGTGTCATAGATTGAGGCTCAGTTACGCGTTAGGGTCTAGTCAGAGTGCCCGTGGTGTGACCATTATTCAAACACATTCACAGCATTTTTATGACCAAGGTCGAGGCAGGTCGAGAATGAGATGTTGGCAAAACTGCTTTAGAAACCTGCCACTCAAACGATATGGTCATTTAACGATTTGACTTGAAATGACTTTTAAGCGTAAATGTAAAAATCCTATGTACTGCACCTTGAAGTGCCAGTATTCTGCACTCTTTCTCGCTGTACAAATGCCTTTTACTCTGTGTATCTCATATTGATGCCTATTTCTCAGTGTCTTTGTGGCGTCTCACCTGAAACATATACACTACCATGTGCCCTAAACTTTGTCTCAGCTCTCTCAGCTTTCTAAGAGGCCAGTTGCAAACGCATTTGACTTCCTCTCCGAAGAGATGACCGCTTAAATTAAAAAAAAAATGTGCATGTGTCCTGTTTGATTTTGGTGTTTTGTAAAGAATCTATGCTGCAGAGGAAAAACTATGTCTTCATGTGTATATTATATTTTCTCAATGAGGTTAAAAGGTCAAATTCAATCAGATCTTATGATTTCGTAATGAAGTTTAAAGACGTATGACAACTGAATGAAACGTGATGTAGTACTTTTAGCAGAATGCCGACCAACGAAGCAACATTTGCGTAATATTTAACGGCCTGACCGGTGGTTTTTGCTACCATTTAACCAAGTGTTTTTCACTTGGATCAAATACACTTAAGAGTGTCACTTAGTTTGATTGAATTTGACCATAAATCTGTGTTTTATAGATGTGAACTGTAGTTGTATGTACTGTATTTTACAAAGCACTGCGTAATATACTGAATACAGCAGGCGTTGTGTAGTTTGACAGTAAAACCAAGCCCGTCTCTGGGTTGTTAATGAATTCTGTTTAATGTGCAGTACAAACTGAGCAATATCTCTATTGCTGTGATACTGTGAAACTGCCATACTGCTGATGTAGAGAGGCCATTTGACATATTGCATTCACATTGTTGAGCAATTTGCTCTGTAATTTTTAGCATGCTTGGCTTTTCTTCCACAATGATTTGCTCTTATTTTTCATCAGACTTTTCTTTCGAATGAATTTCATTTAGCAGCTGCGTAACACTTGATCGTTACTGTTGTGGCCGTTTCACACGGTCACTGAGTTCAGTCAGTAGGTTTTCTTACTGGTTGGTTTTCAGATGATCACTTTTTCATACATTAACTAGTCATATTGTAGTCTCCACTGAGTCTACCCTGTTAACGTACGTATCAATGCAGTGATTTTAAAGCACTTTCAAAAGCGGACACTCACTTTTCTATGTACCATGTTTGTGTTGGAATTGCATCTCAAATAAAGGCATTGCTTAAGTGTTCAGTGCACCTCGTTACTCTGTCTTTTGAAGAATGACATGCAGATGCAACAGTATGAACATTACAGCGTATCATCGCCGTCGCAAAAACTTTTTATCTCATTTTGTCACATAATTTGAGAACTCCAGTTACCCTCTGCATTGTGTTAAAATTTGATGATGAATGGACCAACAGAAATGGTCCAAAATGACTTGGAAAAAATCTTTTTACATTAACAACCATTACAAATTAAGGTTGTTTTTTGCTTCTACTGTAACGTTACATCTGCGCTAAGATGGACTGGTGACCTGTCCAGGGTGTATCCTGCCTTCTGCCCAATGACCACTGGGATAGGCTCCAGCACCTCATGACCTAGAAGGATAAGTGGTTTAGAAAATGTGTGTGTGTGTGTGTGTGTGTGTGTGTGTGTAAAGTCACAATTTTAGAGATGCAAGATTTTGTTCTGACAGCAACAATGCTTGTGGCCTATGTTAAAGTAAACATTCCCATGACTGCACAGTTTACGACCTATATAAAGAAAGCGTGAACACACTGTTAAGTCCTACATGCCGCATGTATGCTGAGATGCTATTTAGTTCAATCAATGCATTTGCCCTTTTCAGGTCACATCTATCATATGACAGCACCACTAATCAGGTGAAGGTTAAAAAGAATAATCTGATAAGACGTAAGGATCTGACACGCTGACAATAAGACATAAATATACAGTTCTGTAGTGGCTACAAATGAGAAAGTGTTTGTGCTTGCAGTTCAGACAGATTATTTCCATCGGAAGGAACAGACTATTTAAGCAGCATGTGTGAATTTCTCCCTTCCTAATATTGTTCTAGCCTCCATGTTTAAATTGCTCAAATGAATGGATAAATGAATTTATTCCCCCCAAAAAAGGAATAAAACTGAATGTGAACATACAGTTTGTTTAGTTTAATGACATTTTTTTTGTAATCAGTAATATCATTCATAATGAGTGTTTTAATGTAATTTAGAATGTAGTACATTTCAATCAGAAGTTAAATAGTAAATAGTAGCTGTATTTCTATATAGGGTCATATGCCAAAATGTTATATCACAATACTTCAAGAAGTTTTTTTTTTACATGATGTGGCACAATATTTATTTATCTATCAAAAACTATTAATCTAATCACACTTGAATTCAACGTGCACTGCAATCCAATTAAACAGGCCTAATTTTACTCCCTAATCAAACACGCAGTTAGTAAGTTTAATTTAGTAGTAATTTACCACGATAATGAGAAATATTGTCACGTTGCCCAGCTCTAATACTATTTATATTTTATATTTTAGAATTTATATATATATATATATATATATATATATATATATATATATATATATATATATATATATTCTATATTCTATATATATAAATATAGAATGGCCTATAAATCCATTATGTGTTCTCCCACTAAACACGTTCTTTCACTAAAAATCGATACATCGCTAAATAAAGAAACTAATTAATTGATAATAAAAATAAAATTTAAATAAATTGTCTGGGATGCTGAACATATGGACACGTCTTACGAATATATAGTTATCCGTGGTGTAATTCAGAGGTTTGGAACGAGAAAAGATCACGCTGTATCTTAATAAGTCATCTTAATCAGTTATAATGCAAACCTTCGACATACATGGGGTGATTACGACTATCCACGAAATACTCAAAAAAGCATATTGTGATGTAATTTATCACTATAACGATAAATATTTTATAAATAAAGAAACTAATTAATTGAAAATAAAACAAAAAAGACGGAAATGGGGGCTTCTTTCATGTTTGCTCTGCTTCGTGTTACTTCCGTTAGCCGTTAGCCTGCTAAAAGGACCCGAATCCCACAGAGCCAAGGTGAGCAGCTCCACTGATAAAAGCGCCGCGTTAAGAAATGTTAAAATGTGGAAATGGTCGTTTATCCAGTTGTTAAATGCTCACGGTGAACGTAAAGGCTGAAGTCAGTCTGTTGTTTGTGTGGTAGAGTCGGTTTTCAGAGGTTTTGTGTCGATGTTTGGCGAAGACCGACTGTGGCTGCTGTTAGCCGACTCCAGCTAGCCAGTTCAGCGGACTGGACTGTGGACAGGTTTTAATTCTGCTCCTTATTTAACGTTGTTTAACATCGTTTCCAGAAACCACGTCGCTGAATCTGTTGACAAGTTCGGTGTGGGCTGTTTGGACAGGTTGGTGGGTGGCTCTGGACGCAAATTAGGTGATAATTTACTTAAAAATGAAGCTGCTAATGAACGTTAGCTGGGTATCTGCTCAGCTCGTTTGATAGCTAAGTGAGCTCTCGCTGCCTAGATACCTACATTTAGTTCAAAATGCTGCCTTGTAGACTAACGTTAGGTAAGAGCTCGGCCTCGAATGAGACATTTAAAGGTAAATTCCTTACAGAAAAGGAAGATGAGCTTAAACTGGTCAGATTCTTAAAGTTAGTTAGTTAGCTAGTTGTGGTTTCCTGTCTCAGTGTACCGAATCCTTTGCAGCCCCGTAGCACAATCACAGCAGCATCTGGCTTTGCCTATTGTTTGAAAAGATTGTCTGGGATGCTGAACATATGGACACGTCTTTTATATATATATATATATATATATATATATATATATAGTTATTCATGGTGTAGTTCAAAGGTTTGGAACGAGAAAAGATGACGTTAGGTCTTAATAAGTCATCTTAATCAGTTATAATGCAAACCGTCGACATACATGGGGTGATTATCACTGCATTATACCTGGGATTGGGCAATATAATTATTTATCTTTATCATGATAAATTACGTCAGAATATGGCCCAGTATGTCTTTCTGAGCATATTTTGGTTATCATCAGAATGTCTAGAACAATAAACGACTAAGTGTTGCATTATAATAACAGCATAATTTTGCATAGTCGTGTTTAATTGGATTTAGTGTAGTGCAGTATGTGAAACGTTAATTAAAATCATAAAAATTGTTGTCTTTGATAGTGTTTTTAAATGTGACACTATTGGTTCACTAAACTGTCTGTTTCAGCTTGTCAGGAAAAATAAATATCGTCACACTGTGTGTTGTGAGAATTTCTTGAGGCATAATGATACTGCATTTTTGCTGTATTGCCCAGCTCTAGTTATATCTTTGCTTTTTTTCCATGTTTCATTTCACAGATAAAAGGTTTTCATACCTAATCAACTCATCAGGGTTTTTTTTCTGGGCCTTATCTGTAGAGTAATGGTGCATCCAGATGTTCTTGCAGAATTAATAGCAAGTTTGCTTCCTTTCAGACTCATGAGACTAGTTACCTTGTACAGGAAAATGTATAGAGTACTACAGTAACCTGGCCACATTAATATATGATAAAAGCTTAATGTCGTGTCTTTAGAACTTACCTCAATTGAGCAAATAGTGCCATCCACATTCGTTCCTTAATGTTTATGTGTGTGTGTGTGTGCGTGTGTATGAACATCTATAGAACATCTACAGCTGTTCTTTTGTGACTTTTCTAAGGGTACAGATTACACCCGAAGGTTTATTACATAGAAACAGTTTTAATCCAAGTGTCTTATTGCGAAAGCTTAAACTAGTACTACCCAATCCTGGTACTGGAGTTCCCTTGCCTTGTACATTTTGGTGTTTTCCCTGCTCTGGCGCAGTTCTTTTTAAATGAATCGATCTCAGTTCTGGTGGAATTAACCTGAATGGGAACCAGCTCTGAATGTCCTCAGTGCTTTGTTGTGTTCACAATGTAAGTGAACTTTATAAAGGGGTTTGTTTTTGCTGGCAGCATATTTTTTTAAAATGCAGATTTGAAAATGATAATAATTTAATCGAGTTTTTATTATGTTTCCCATGTTGGTGTGTAATTTTAAAGACAAAATTTATATACAAAACATGTATGCGTATTTGCATTTCTCTGTATAATGACTGGAAAAGCAGAGTCCTTTTGACGTTTCATTTTCATTGTCTAAATGGTAAGACTGGCGTGTTAAAATGGAATAGCAGTTGTCTATTTGCAATTGCGTTTTCTCATAATTGCACTTCAGCTTTGCCAAAATGAAAGCATATTTAAAACCCTGTTTCCCATTGCATTCTCACTGTCAACAGAGCCCAACTGTCAATCTAACGCTGTGGTGGGATATCGGGAGGAACTTTTGTAGTGCAGGGCATGTTTTAATAAGAGTGATGGGGAAACGGGTCTAAATTTTGGTGGGACTGTCTAGACACTTGTTTACAACAGAGAGGTTGCAATAGTAACCGCTACTAGTGATATTTTACACTCGCCAACCAGGCTAAGGACAAATCTGTCCAAAATGATTTTGTGTGAAGTGATTAGGATCATTAGGAGTGATTGTGGCTGTTACAGCACCAATTTTTGTGACATTGTGGTTTTAAGTGAGTGGCTGGCTTTGGGCAGAGACTCGCAGTACTGTCTGTGGACCTGGCCGATACGATAGATAGTCCTAATAAACGGTTACCTGTTCATGAAATTTCAATCTAAATGATTTTTTATTGACATTGTATTTCTTATGCTGTATTTTTTTATTGCCATTTTCTAAGAGCAGTAAGCCACTCTATATTACAGTGATTTCAGTTTGGGTAGGGAGGTTAACAAAATGAACTACAAACAAACTGTACTGAGACCACCTTGAGCTTTTCTGAGTTCAGTTTGTTTTTGGGACTGTTTAGAGGGGTCTGAGTTCATTTGACATGTTCACATGTGCACAGAAAAGTAAGTGAGTCCGCTTGAGACACTGAAATGGTCCCAATTGTGAAAATACCCTAAGAGCAGTGGAAATACCAAAATGTGATTGGAAAGAAAGCTGTTGGAAATGGCATTTTTAGGTAATGCAAAGCTAAGCAGAGTCACTGATACTAGAGTTTGTGGCCATTGTCCCATACAGTAAATCTTTTCATGACCTTTGAATTCATTGTAGATGTAATAATACTAATAATAATATGCATGTTTGCAGGTCGCTTTCAAACAAGGCTTGTGTGAGCTAAAGGTGCGTTCTTCTGAGACATTGGACCATCATGTGGAATGGTTCAAGATCTGGCCCACGAGGAGGAATGCCTTTTCGGTAAGATCAGTCATCCAACAGGATGCTTATTCTCGCTAATTCATAGTTTGTCTTGAATACCCCATGCACCATACATTTTAGTGGACTCTCTGACACAAGTTAACTCATGAATCACCTAATATTCTGTCTAGTTCTATTTCATATCTGCTGACAGCAAGAACTGATGTGAGGCAAAATGGATTCTCTTTGTGTGACAAGGAGGACGGTACCGTGATGTTACAGATAGCAGTTTTGTTGCTGGTCCTAGTACATACAGGCATGAGGTTTATGGTTCTACAAACCCAGACACCTCTCCCGTTTTAGCTGTCCTGGTGGTGTGACTCTTATGTTGTTGGAAAAGGTGCCATTCCATCCACATTTAGTCTGCATGACTTCTATTATTGAGTCTCACAAACATCTCTTTGGTTCGCAAGGTTGTGCAGTACTTTTACAATCATAACTAGGCTAATTGATTTGGGGGGAATTATCTAATCGCAAGTTTTCTGACCAGTATTATGCTTTTAAATAGCAATTTTTTCTATAAATTAAGGGCCAGACCTGTTATTTTGGGCACACTGTTAGTGGTAGTTGGCATGTACATTACATATGAGTAGAATGAACACACTGTCTGTATGCCATGCTTGCTATGGACTTGGTTGTTTTGGTTTTGTGATCAGCATTCTAAGATATTGTCCTTATTTTAATTAATGTATAGTTTAATTAACAAATAAGCATAGACTGCATTCACTGATCACCATGACATTCATTACACCCTGCTATGCCCTGTAGGGATGCACATTTTTTTTTTATGGCTGATTTTGATTAAGTTACTGCCAAACTGGCCAGTTGCAGAGTTTTAAAGCCTATCACACTGTTTAGGTTAAATAATCACATAGAAAACCTCTAATATATTTCCACTACTGTCTATTATCCAAAATATGAATTACATTATTTAATGGGCTAGACTTGAATTCTAAATTGATTTAAAATATATAAAAAAAAATCCAATTTTAATGTTAGAAATCAAATAAAGTGCTACACCAAAAGTAATAGGCAGCTGGTTATTTAACGCAATGTCGTGTTTAGTGCACAAAAAAGGATCTTATTTTATCTTATAGTATCGTTTTCTTTAAGATCTTTATCTGTGAGTAGACAAACAAGGAGCATCCACTGTGCTTCATATTAGAGGTCTGCACTCCCGCGGGACATTTTCAGTGTTGCATGTGGGAGCGGGCGTGAAACCAGCCCACTGCAGGCAGGAGAGGGCTAAAGCACATATGAAGAGAAATCCCACAAATTGATGAGTGGTCTAAATAAAGTAGACCGATCACTGAATCCTATATATAAACATTATAAGATGAGAACAGTAAAACAATGAAAGTGAATGAAGTCATTCTAAAGAGGTGCAAAGCAACCGATCATGTGAGCAACACGCACATTGCAGAGATGGCCTCAGTTACATTTGTAATTAGAAATTAAAATGTTAATTGCAGTAGTAGACCTCCAGCAGACATTGGGCTATCACCCATTTTCCAGGTTTCCAGCAAGCTTAATTTTTGTGCCTTTTGTTAATTAGGTTTTTATAGACACTTTCTCAAAGAATCAGGTGATTAGTGGTAAAACAGGTGGTGTCATTACAGTGGGGACCATCGAGGGGAGATGTTTGATGGAAGAGGTGGACCAATGCCTGGCTTCAGAGGACGGGATGGAATGAATATGGGTTCAGGGCCTCAGGACCGGCCACCTATGGACATGAGGAGGTTTGACTGTCCACCAGATATGATGGGGCGAAACATGGGCCATTTTGACAGAGGAAGAGACCCTCCCCGAGACTTCTTCAGGCCTGGAGATGAAGCTGATATGAACTTCAGAAGACATTTTGAGATGGAAGGCCGAAATAATCAGCAGAATGCTCCAGGTTTTATGGGGCAGGGTAGGCCTCCTATGGATATGGGAGGCAGAGACATGCCAGTTAGGAATATGAGGGGGCCTGAAGATCAGTTCATGGACGTGAGAGAGAGGGACAGATTTAGAATGGACATGCCAGGTTTCAACATGTCTCCAATGGATATTAGAAGAAGGGCTTCTATGGACCCTATGGACAGAAATGACAATTTAAGAGAAAGAGAGAGGCCACAGATGGGTATGAGTGACATTGACGGATTTAGTATGGATATGCCTCCACGAGAAAGGCCGGTGATGGATTTTGAGAGACGAGGTTTTGCCCCGCCGTTGAATCCTAGAGGAAGGTTTGAATCCGATATGGATTTTAGGAATCGTATGGGATCTCCAGGTGACTTTCGGGAACGATCTCCCCAGATGTTTCGGGACAATGATGGTGTTCCGATGGATGTTAGAGGAAGACCTGACATGCCTCTAGATCGCAGAGGTCCAGAGAAAGCCATGCTTAGAGTAGGTGAACCAACTTTAAGGGACAGGGAGTTCCCTGAGCCAATTGAGAACCCAGGAGGATTTAGAGATGAGGGCAGATCGCTTACAGAGGAGTGGCGCAAGCAAGGCATCCGGGAGAGAGACTCATTTTCACCAGCAATAAATAGAAGTTCACCTTTCCCCAGAGAAATGAAAGAGCGGTTTATGCCTGGACATGGCAAAGAGGCTGATTTAGGAGAACCCTCCCAGTTCAAAGAAAGGGAGAGACCATCGATTGAGTTTCCAGGCAAAGATTGTGGGTCCTTAGGTTTCTCCCGATCAGAAAGAGAGGGTCCTAGTGGCCAAAACTGGGAGAAGAATCTTCCTGCTGATTTCCCAGGCAGAGATCCCCCTCACCCTGTTCAGAAACCACCACTCTTGCCACTGGATCCCACAGTAAATACCCCAGGTAGAGACAGTGATGGTAAACGCTGGCCTAGGGATAGGGATGAGAAGTCTGACAACACTGTACCATCAAGTGGCAGGCGCCCATTCTTTCCAGAAAAAAGCCTGTCAAACCAAGAGAGTCGCTTCTCAGGTGATCAAGGAACCTTTAAGGGATCTAAGGATATGCCTCTTGATCAAGGGCCAAGGAAAGGGAATCTGATGCCAGGGCCCAGGGAACCTCAGAGTAACAGAGGGGAAAGACAAGACCAGGACTATAGAGACATAGATTACAGGACCAGTTCAGGCCGGAAATATGACTATATCCTCGGGGATCTTCAAGGTCCTGAAAAGAACTTGAAAGAATCTAAATTGGCTCCACCTGAAAGACCAAATGACTCTGGTTCTCAGGTAAGAGAATTAATCTCTAATATGTATTGTTTTTAAATTGAAGGCTAAAACTAGTCTTGCCCTTGTAGAGTAATGCATTCAATGTCCTTGATAAGGTCTGATTTTCAGGGTCCTTGACTGGTAGCAGTTATTTTTCTGTAGTCATTTGTTTTGATATGAAGTGTAAATTTCAAGATATAAGTTCCATTTAATTTACACAATTCTGTGACTTATATAACAAAGGACCAGGATTACAGGAGTTCTTGTGGTCAGGATAAGGTGTCAAATACTATTGCCATCTCTGGAATTCCCAAAACTGCTACAATGCAGCAGGTAGGTTTGATTCTTACATGACAGCTTGATTCTGTCTTGTGTTATGCCTTTGAAATATGTAAGTAGGTCACAGTGTTATACGGTCTGACATGTAATTTTTTTGTATAGATACTGGATGCCTTTGCGGTTCGTGATGGAGTGCCAATGCAAGGCATGAAGATAAAGGATGTTGTTCCAGGTGAGATTCATTTTTAGAAATTAGAAACGTCTACAACATTCGCAACATTTCGCTTTTCGCTACTCGAATCCTACGCTCATTGTGGTTTTCTTTTGACTGTGTTTTCTGCTCCTTAGAAACATGTACACTTAAAAAGAATGCTGATTGAATTTCCGAACACTGTAAAGGGCTTCTTGTTAAAAAATGTGGTTCGCTGACCCTTATCCTGTGTGTTCTTGTGCTGGAACTTGTGCAGTTCACCCTGAGCACCTTCTATCTTAAACAGGCTTGTGGGTTAAGCAGATCGACCAATACATTGCTGGGAATGTCCTAACATGGTTCCCTTCATTAATAGTTTCTTTTTCTTTTTATTATTGATGAAGCACCCACATGACGCTTCTCCTTGTTTATAAGGTTGTCACGTAGGGGCTATTTTTGGTTGAGCTCTGAACTGTGAGCTGTCCAATTAGGCAATTTCCCATTTCTTCTTATTTTATAGTAGTTCCTTGTTTCATTGAGTTTTTTCCTGACCAAAGACAAAGCAGGACCCATTGCCAAGACATAGACTGCATTACTACTTTCACATCTTTGTTAGGGGGTCACCCTTCTAAATGGTCTTAAACAAGAAAATGTGGTTCCATATTGTGTGTTTTTGTTTTTTTTTAATTACAAATACCCCAAATTTCTGTGACTCTGCTAAATTTCTGCAAAGAGCCTTTGAAGGCTTGCTTGAACCAAAGGAATCTCTTGGGATGCATAGTTGCAAATAAACCGCATTTTATGTCGCAGTGAAGTTTGGTCAGTTTTGTGGTTTTAAACAGCAGACCATACATGGGCTACATACAGCATTTTATGTCCAGTTTTGGGTGCTGTTTAGATCATGCAAATTAGCAGTTAAATCAGATATTGTACACTAAGTGCATATTCCCACAGGCTGTACAGAGCTGTGATCATTACTCTGACTGCCCTCAGGCACAAGATATAACGAACTCAAATGAAAATATCGCTTGAAATGATTTTTTTGTATGATTGAAAGCCAGAACACTCACGCAATTCTGATGAACACCTACAAATGTACATAATGTAACAAGTCGCTGTTGTCTCCCGTGAATCGGTTGTTTTTCCTTTTCTTTTTTTTAACGGTTCTCCTTTTGACTGGCATTAACTAACGCAAACCCATTTGTATTTCAAATGCTGTCCCCAGGTTACAGCTACGATACGGCCTATGTGGAGTTTTTAAACCTCGAGGATGCTGTCCACTTCATGGAGTCCAACCAGGTGGCCCATCCTTGTCCGTCTACAGTGGCTGTGTCTTCAAAGGAAGAAGGCTTGGGCTGGGGCAGGGACAAGGGTGGGATGGGGGTTAACAGCAATTGGGATGGGATGGGATGGGAAAAATCATATTTCGCTATGTTGGAGTTAATGTTTGTTATTAAGAGCTCCTTCATTCTCTCCAAAGGTTATCATAAATACTCTATGATTTGCAGTCTAAAAGCAAAACACCAGTTTTCCAGTTATTTTAGATTTGCTAGGAGATTGGAAACATGGAAACAAGACAAAAAAAGGTTGATATTCTAAGGATTTGTGTCAGTGAAAGACCAACCAGGAGATTGTATTCAATTTAGTTCAAACTAATTTCTCATAATGTATTTTTCCCCCATTTTATTAATTTCTCAGCTGTCGGTAGCTTTTGCCAGATATGTTTTCACTTTGTGGCTTTGGATATTTTTGTGGGAATCTGACAGATTTTCTAGACTTTTCAGAGATTCCAGTCTGAATTCTTTTCATTTTATTGTAATCATGGTAAAATGAAGGTAGTCAAGCTAGTAATGGACCTGCCAAAGGATTCATTTCTGTCTTTTACATTAACAGTGCTTTGGATACCTTAGGATCATCGCTTAAGGGTTCATGCTTGCAGTGATGTACCTTTCTTTATGGTGCTGTGACACCAGTCATTCTTCACACATTCTCACAGCTTCTTGTTGGCTTCAAAAGATTTCATCACTTTAATGACCAGTACTGTGGTGGTTTAGCAGACCATTTCTACCACTTTCCCCAACCTCACTTTTCATTTCATGAGCACTGAGATGCTACAAAGTGTTCTGTTTAACACAGCTTTCATTAGTGGTTTCTTCTTGACCTCAGCCACCATCACAGCCTCACAAGAGACTGTTTTCCTCTTTTGAGTTGGGAATTCGCAGTCACTGCTTTTGACCACATGGATTTCTGTCTTTCCTTGCTTGCCATGACCGACTTCATGGTTGAATTTCAGCGTATCTTAAAAGTTTCAAATGGAGCTTTGATGGTTTATAATGTTAATGATACAACTTGAGTTTGAAGTTGAATCTTACATTTTGCAATGAGGGCTTTTAAACTTTGTTGGCAGTTGAGTTGTCAGGGCATTCGTTTGTTGGAGAGGCTGGATTGGGAATACGTGGAGGTGGAAAATTAGGTGGTTGAAGGATTCTGATACGTATACTGATGCTGATTTGATGCCGATTTGTTCTCTGCTTGCTTGTCTTTTGTCATCTGTTCTTGGAGTTAAGTGTTCTTAAATTGCCATAACTGCAATGTTTTTTCCAACTAGTGGAGTAACAGCAAGAGTACTCATATGATGAAAGAAAGGAAAGTTGGTGTGTGGACACCTAGCATTCCCTACATCCTTGCACTGAGATCCCCTTTCTTTTGTATTAGCTTTCCAATCATGCATCTTGGTGAAGGCTACATATTTCCATCTCAAGAAATTGAGTGGTAGGGGATTATTTGGTGGGTGAGTAATGACACTGTCCAGTGGGGCCACATTTTAAACTGTCCGGTGGAGCGTAAATTGCGTTATAGTTGTTTCTACCCTTTGAGATATCTTGATTCTGCTTGTGAACGTTTTTGTGAACCAGTCATTTGTTTGATTGCGAGGACGTGTCCTGAAATACTCAATACGATGTCAGAGATGTTTCTGCAAGTTAACTTGCCATCTGTTTCTTTAACAGTCAGTCTTTTCATTATTTGCACTATAGTGGGGGCAATGCTGGACATATTTCAGGGTGCACTGTGACAGTGTGAAACAGAAGTGTACTCTAGCTGCGAAAAAGAGGTGTAACATTCATGATTTGGACATATTTGGGCACTCTGGAAATAGGATTTTTGAAGCCTACATCCTAAAGTTGAGGTTCACTTTTCTAGCCAAAAGAGGGAGGGCTTCAGAAATCTATTTTGTCACTGCCTGTGTAGACGTTACAGTGCCTTTACGTGCAGTGTTGACAACAGTTAGAACATGTGCTCTTCTCTAAGCCAGTTATTGTAATAACTGAGGTTAGTGCCTTATGCAAGACACGTGGTTGATTTAGGATTACTTATGGCTGATGAAGCTTGGGTAATTTTTTTTTTTTTGGGTTTCATTTTGATATGTGTGGTTAGTGGAAACATCATGACTCAAATAGTTTGACAGTGAAACAAATTTATGCAAACTCTGTCACAAGCTTGAAAGTAATGAGACTTTATTTAACAATCGCCTAGAAGCCCTGTGGCATGCTCCATGCGTATCTCTCCTTCTGAGCTATTTGTGCAGTTTGATTTTATTGAGGGACATATTTTCCAAAGGTGTTCTGAAGAAATAAATTGAGGCCATCATTTGTCTTCCCTGTCCTTATCCTTGGGGGGAAAAGTGAGTGCTGCCTTAAGTAAAAAAAAATACCACAGAGTTGTGGCAGAATGTTTTTGTGTTATGAGGAAAAATTAGACCAGCACTTCATAATATGATCATATGTCTTATTTGTCTGCTTGCTGAGTGTGAACCAAAGCCACTGGGCTGTGTTCATACAGTCAAGCAAAACATTACCTTTCCTGGCTGCATAGGATGACCCTTTCCTGAAGGAAATGTATGTACTTCACACAATTCATTATCCCTTGGAATATGATGCATACTTTATGGTTTTGCTTCCCTCATTTTGTCTGACTTTAGAAACCTTTTTAATGCATTTATATGCAAATATAAATATATATTTATATGCAAACTAGAGATTGGACAGAATTGAGAAATGCAGCAGAAAAAGTTCCATTTTACAGCAAAGCTGTATTTAATATGTAATTAATAGCCTGACCTGCTTGTAATTGCATAAAGTAATTTGTTTTTTGTTTTTATGGATAGTTGTAGTTGTCTTGAATGCCTTTATGTGCATTTGGAAGAGAGATTTAATTTCCCTTGTAAATACTGCTGTGCGGGAGGTTGGGAAATATGGCAAAAAAGACATGTTCATGATACATATTTTGACACACGATGCACTAGTAGTCTTGGTAGACTGATATTTTGTTCAACATTTCACATAATGTGCCACACTTTATCAAATTAAATGGGACTATTTCTCTTCATAATGAAACATGCTGACCTGCTGCATTTTTTTAATGACAGTATTCACAAAGACTGTGCTCAGACAAAAATATTGTTTATCATGATCATAAATTTTATCGGGATAACGATGAAACATAGCTAGCTAATCCAGGTGCAGACTTACTGCGTTTGCTGAATTGCTCCATACTGTCTTTACATTAAGGATTCACACAGATGCCAGTTTGTTCCTCGTAAGGTTTATGCTTCGTTATTCCTTGTCAGACAGAGACAAGAAAAATTTTTCGCTCATCACACATTGTAAATAAAATGGAGGTGATTTTAGGAGGAGCCCAACACCTGATAAACGCACATCGCTATGGTAATGCGTTCTTATCCATGGCTTCAGAAGAGCCTAACCTGATGCATTCTGGGACAGATTTTGTCCATATACATTTGTAAGAAGAAATCAGCCTCTGTTCATTAGATACTTACTGTCTTTCCCTTTTTTACAGGGCTCTGTTAAAGTTGGTAGCAAGACTGCTCTGTTGAAGTATATTCAGCCTGACAGAAATGCAAAAGAACAGGTAAGTTTTCCCTTTTGTATTTTTAAAGTGGGGTCAAAAAGTCTGAGCCCACATTTTAAATTATTTTATTATTTAAAGTGGAAAAAACACATTTTAGAGTTTTGAAATATTTGAAAAGTAGAATAAATAAAGATCTAAGGTTCTGCACTATTTCTAGGTCACAACTCAAATTTAAGCCTTTATGCAAAAAGGTGAGATTTTTCTTTACCCCTTGCATTGAAGCATGGGACAAAGTCTTGCACAAATTTGTGGATTCAAATACTGAGAAATTGATGTAAATATTAAATTTTTTTTTTTTAAATACACAAATTATTGTGCTGATACTAAAATTTGTAATAAAAAATATACTAAATTGGTAAAGAATGAAAAGTAGAGGCATTTTCACTTCTGGTCTCAGACATTTGGACCCCACTGTATCAGAAGGCCCATGCGTGCTGTATTCGTTGTAAATACAAAGATCACATTTTTATTTGAAAGTTGGAATGAAAAATGTCTTTTGGGTCGCAGCCAAAGGACCCGCTACCTGAAGCCCTTCCGCCCAAACAGGACGGCCTGCTGCCAAGTCCGGTTCCACTCAAGCCACCAAATGTGAAGGAGGAAGGCTGTGGCAATCCTCTGAATGATCCCCTCTCTCAGGGTGTGTGGCAGAGAAGTTCCACTCTGACACCTGAAGCTTGGCAGCAGCAGGTCGACAAACAACTTCAGGAGCAGGAGGCGGAGAAGCAAGCTGAGGAATGGGCCAACCAGAGAGCGTCTCGTCACAACCTCCAACACTCAGATCCAGTCTTCAAGGAGAGCAAGAGTGAGTGGATGCTTTGGTGCTGTACTTGTAGGTCTGGTTTCCCATTTAATCGTTGATACACGTCTCCTACAGTGGCGATGTCATAGTGTTAGAGCAAGATTTTCTGGGTTAAAGACTAAGAAAACGCACTTCTGATGATAAATCTGAAGGTAGGAGGAACTTTTGTACAAGCAACTACTTTTGTACAAGCAACTTGGGTCGGATACTTGGGGGCAGTTACTTGAGGGCAGGCTGTACAGCAGATAGATTTGTGTAATGTATACTGGCTGTTGTAGTGAGAGAACACTGATGCACAAAAACACAAAAAGGCTGAGGGACACTTTCATCTATTCAAGTAGCTACGCCACAGAATACCACTTAATATAACAAAATATTAAATGCTAGATTTGGTTTGGCCGTTTCCCCAATAAACACAGTCATGTTGCAGAATGTTTTGTCACTCAGTCCAACTGATGGGGCATATTCCGATGGGAAAGTGGCATCATTGCATACCCTCTATCACAGACACGTCCAGCAGTTTAGCCCTATCCATTAATCCTGAAGTTTTAAGTAAATGCTTCAGTCCAGACCACTTTTTGATTGAGGCACAGTACAAGGCAGGCACCCAGAACAGAGGGAATTTACATAGATCAGTTTTAAAGACATGTAAGGGATAAAGAGATTTTGGAAAATGCCCAAGTAAAAATGTAAGAATAAAGAAAACCACACAAATATAAATGCACCTCAAAGGGAAGAACATGTTGGTGAATGTGATTTCAGTGTGTATTTAATGTATATTTAATTATTGATTTTCTCCTCTTTAGCCTAATTCAGTAAGGTGTACACTTATTTCTGACTTTTACTCCTGTGTATTTAAAGTATGTTTTTCACATTGAAGGAATGTTGTTCCTTGTCTTGTTAGCAATGATCATTAAGAACTTACTTCCCACCACCACGGTCGAGACAATTCTTAAGGCGTTGGACCCCTTTGCTTACCTTGATGAACGCAATGTCCGTCTTGTCAAAGGAAAAGCCCCTGGGTCCAAGTGCTTCTGCTTTGTTGATATGGACTCCCATGAGGTAAGCTGTCTTAGGCTGGGCAGGATGTTTTTTCCTCTTTTTTGGCTCATGTAATAGACACCATTATACAAATCTAAGTGTAAAGTACAATAACATTTGTAAATATATTCTACCTGTGGTTCTAGTACACTACTGCATGGGGCAACTTTCTTTATTTACCCTTTTTTCAGCATGTGACACGATTGGTGGAGCTGTTAACCAAACCCCGTCCGATTATGATTGATGGAGTCAGAGTATATGCAGAGGTGGCCAAGCCTCTAAAGAATCAGAAGTGAGTCCCAACATAACCAGATATGAATTGACTACAGTTAATATCTGTAATATTTTTTCTTTGAATTTTTTTTCTCTCACTGTCTGTTCTAATGACATCCTGAAAATAATGATTTTTGCAGCTACCGGAGGGACTATGATAAATCAAACACATCTCTTTTGGGTTTTCCACCTGATGTGATGGAGGTAATTTAGCCGAAGGGCAGTTCTTGTTGACAAAGACCCCAAACAACTTTAACTTCAATCACATTATTCCATTGCTTTATATTAAACTTTCCTCGCATGCTTATTGCTCTATTTCTGCAGCAGCAGCAACAGCAGTACTACCCTCAGCCGCCCCACACAGCCGTAGGTGTTCCACCTGCCTTGCAAGGTATATCAGTGACACATTTGAAAATCTTTTTACATTAAAGTACTTTCTTTTGCATTTACGAAACAGAGTCTGATTTCTGTGTTTGTCCACTTGCTGACCCAGGGCATACAGTTGTCACAGATTCCTCCTTGGCTTCAGCTGCAATGCAGAGCTCAAGCTTAACACAGGTGAGTTTATTACACTGTCGAATTAAATTATTTGAATTCATTATTTGTAAAAAGAAAATAGATTTTGTGTTCATCTGTAACCCTTTTAAGTGATAACCTGATTTCTGACGTTGTGCAGGGTGTGATGTACTCAGAGGCTCCTGCATTGGAGCACTCAGTCCAGGCTGCACCTTTACCTGACTCCGCTCTTGCTGCCTCTGCTGATGGTTCTGATGCCTACAGCTATGGTAAGAGGCCAGTCAATTTGAAGTGCAACTGACTAGAACTGTCCAGTTCGTAAAGATGACAGGCTTCTTTTTGTCCATGTTCTTATTCTCAGCTAATATAGGCTCTATTTATTGAGTAATTGTAATTTTCATGATCCATAAAGGAAGACAAGGTGTTTCTTGGGTTTTTACTTAATCATGTTTCACGTATTGTAGAACACAATTTAATTCAATGACCTTATGATTTCCCTCAGGCTCAGATACTCCAGATTTGTCTGCCTTCCTCTATGATGCTACATCGGGCTTCTACTATGACCCCCAGACCACACTGTACTACGACCCCAACTCAAGAGTATGTAATATTTCTTTAGGTATTGCGTCATGAATATATATATATATATATATAAATAAAATATAAAATCTTCATTGTATTGGGATACAGTGCCCAAGAACTTGTCCACTACAGGTTTGATACCACTTTTTACATGACATCCCAGCTTAAAATGCAGAGTATAGCAAAACAACAGAAGCAGAAAATCCCGGCTCGTGGACCGACACCATCTTTAGCCTTTCATAAATTCATAAACAGTGCCAAAGTGCAAAGTATAATTGAAAAGTAATGGAATTCACCAAGAACGACCAACTGTTCTCTGTTGTTGAGGTTGTTGGATGTTAGACTGATACTGTAGCCTACATACTGTAATCATTTTAGTAAGTCCACTTGATGTAAAGTTTTTTATGTATTTGTTGGCTCAGTTTTGTCCTATATCCTATAAACAGATGTTATCTAGGGATGCACGATGATATTGTAATCATATCAGTATCAGCTAATTTAAAAAAAAAAAGGCCGATGCTTAGATTTGGTCGGTTGATTCAGCTTCTTCAGAAATCAAGAATTTCAACAAAACAGCTCAAAAGCTGTTCTCTGTTATGGAGGATGTTCATTTTCAGCAGGCGCTCTAACATCTTGAGCCTCATTACACCAAACTTGGTCAGCATCATTTTTCTGATGTAGCCCTAACAGAACTACCTAACATGGCAGCAACTCGCATTCACAAGCTCATTGATGATAATGTGACGTCCATTAGCCTTACCACAGACATGTGATGGGCATGTGATGTGAGTCCTGAAAGTATTCTCAGTTTAATTGCGCAGTGGATAGACAAAAATTTTGACTTAAGGCCACCGCACAGTGGACGCGCCGTGTTGCATCATGCACCGCAGGTTCTGCTACAGAATGCAAGACTCGCTGAGTAACAGTGCTTGGAGTTATGGAGTGCTAGTGACGGCGTTAACACACAGTGTGTACCTCCATTATAAACAGTGGTTTCAAATGTTGGGATGCTGCACGTCCGGTGATTTATGGCCTTAACAGAAGGCAGATTTGCATGTCCAAGATGAAAAAGATGTGAACATGTAAAATATCGGCACCGGCCCAGAATTCCCATATCAGTGCATCCCTAATTGTATCAATAATCAGAAAAGTGTTTTCTTTATTGCCTGGTATGTATTTTTTTATGTTTAGTATGTTTATTATTTAAACGGTTACTTCTGGGTTTTGGCCTCGTGTCTTTTGGTTCCAGTTTTGGGCAGGAATTTTTATTTTGACATGTCCCTGGTATTTATTATTGTCATATGTTTCACTACTTTAAGAACACTAAACAACTGTGCATTTTATTCCAAAGAAAGCATTATTAGTCCTCTATAACTGCATTTATAACTGCACAGTATGTCAGGCACTGAATAAATATCATTGTACTCAGTTTTTTTATAGCCTTTTTTTGGTATCTGGCGCTAATAGTGTTTTTTTCCAACTTGGCAAACCTTGGAAATATCGTCATACCTATTGTGAAGCTTGAAAATATTTTTGCCATATCACCCCAATGTACTACAATACTGTATTAATGTTGTGATTCTGCATTCTGCTTCCTTTTGTCTGCAGTATTTCTACAACGCTCAGACTCAGCAGTACCTGTACTGGGACGGCACCTCAAAGACATACATACCAGTGGAAGGAGCCAGCACAGATGCTCAGGAGCCGAGTGCAGAGGGTAGTGCTCCAGCGGAGATATCTGCTGAGGCTGTGCCGGCAGCAGCCATGCCCGTGGTGGAGGAGTTAAAGGTGGCTCCAGATGGAGTGCCAGAGCGGCGGGAGGACGAGGAAGCTGCCCCACGTGCAGAAAAGAAAGAGAAGGAGAAAGAAGATAAGCCTAGGAGCTTGGCTGCGTTCAAGGTATGCCTTCAAATCTGCTGAAATGTTTATTGAGGAAAACGCTACTTATTCATATTGTCAAACTGCACTTCAGGGACAGCTGAGCATAACAAATGTGTTGTATTTTGATGTTGGACAACAGATTATGAAAGACATGGAGCGCTGGGCCAAGATTCAGAATCGGCAGAAGGAAACAGTGCGTGCTCCATCTCCTGTCCTCAAGAGTGGAACAGAAGACAAGAAGACCTCCAAGGCAGCTGACGCGGCCTTTGCTGTGTTTGAAAGAAAGGTCAGGGAGCTGTCATCTGTTTAAAATAAATAAATAAATAAATAACATGTAGGCCTCATTTGGTATTTATGTGCTAGAGTGGTTAATCACTTCCTCCTCACCTCATACCTCACCCCCACAGGCCACAGGCGGTGATGACCTATTCAAAAAGCCCCTAGCCCCACCAAAGAAAGACGAGAAAGGTTCAAAGGTGAGTTTTGGACACACACAGACATGCACCTCACCCTTACAGATTTGCACCTCAGCTTCAGTTTTCGCTGACTGCAAAAAAGGCAGTAACATTTAGCAACTGCAACATTACTGTCCTTGATGTACCTCTTTAAAAATGACTTTGAATGAGAGTGATTTATTCAAGTCCTTTTATAGATCAAAGATCAAAGCCCCTCACTTATACTTAATTTATACTGCATTGGCAGCGGCCCATGGGCTCTCTAGGCATGCTAGCGGCTGACTATGCAGCAGGCAGCGACGATGAGGAAGAGGAGAAGCACGAGAAACATGAAGCACCACAGCCTGCCAAGAGCCAGCTGCAGCCCGAGGAGAAGGAAGACAGACTGACGGACTGGAAGAAGATGGCCTGCCTGTTGTGCAGGAGGCAGTTCCCCAATAAAGACGCCCTGATACGCCACCAGCAGCTCTCAGATCTGCATAAGGTACCTCTGCAGCCTATAGAACCAACACATGTTAAGAAAGAAACAAAGGGGAAAATGCTTGAACAGTTATAGGGAGCAGTGTTTTTTTTTTTTAATTATTTATTTTTTTCCTCACCTTTCTTTCTCTTTCATATTGGTAGCAAAACATGGAAATCCACCTGAAGATAAAAAGGTCAAAGAGAGAGCTTGAAGCCTTGGAAAACCAGGAGAAAGAGGTAAGGGAATCTCTCAGCACCTCATGATTCAATTTCAGTTCAGGGTAACAGTATGTGATTACAAAGCAATTCCCTTAGTTTTCTGTAGTCTTTCACCATCTAGTGGGTTAAAACTAAAATCTAAAAAATGAAAAACATGTCAGGTAACTTTTGTAGCCTGTTAGCAGTTTACTTAGTGGTTGTTAAATGAAGGTAAGCTCTCACACACATTCAACAGATGGTTTGAGGCCTTTTATTTCATACACATGATCAGTTTGTGACTGAAATTGAGATTTTGCTTCCTCCCTCCTCTAAGCCAGCTGTGCTAACAGATCCTACTTTATAATGGTGATTTTATTTTACAGTAAAAAGAAAGTACTGTAAAGTAAAAATATGTGAGTTTATTTTACAGTAGGGGAACCGCAGAGTTTGAAAATCAGACTGACATGAATCAGTTCTGAATCTGTAGATGTGCTTGTAGAAATCTAAGGAAACAGTAAAGGTCATCTGACTGCATACAATGTGTTTTAGCTGAGTATGAAAGAGGCCAACAGTCCACCTGAAGCAAAGAGACGAAAACAGCCGAACACATGGGCCGGCACTTCCAGGTACGTGTTAACACTTTACAGGTTAAAAAGTTGAAGACGTGATCATGAGGTGGCTGCATGATGAGCTACAATCTGTCACTTTTTTGGTTGTTTTGAGATGTTTTAAATAGCTGCTGTTGTTTGACCTAATCGCTCTGTTCATGTTCTTTCAGGGACACACAGAAAACGAGTGAGCGACCAGGTTTAGGTATGGAGACCACAGAGGTGAGTCTTTGTCCATGACCATTAATGAGGAATGGAATATACTAGTGGCATTCTTCATTTATCATTAGCTATGTTTGCAGCCTCAAAACGCGTTAATAATCCAACTAATATCTCAATCAGAATAGACTAGTCCGATTAAGGCCATCCGTAAAACAGTTTCTATCTGAACGAGGTGGGTAATTCTGTAAATGATCCATTAAATAGAAAAATAATAAAGGCTGTATCTGACTACATTCTCAGTCAGAAAGTTTAAGTACGTTCTGCACATGTGAGTCGCGTCATAGTTTATACTGTTCAACATGGTGGGAGCAGAAACTGGTCTGCAGAGGAGATGAAGTTTATGCTCTGATCTTTAAAAGACGGCGGTGGGACGGACATTCAGCTTATGTGTCTCAGAACAACGTCTTCCTCTCGGCCTTTTTTAATAAGGACATGTGAAGGATGTTTTCCTGATTCTGACATCATTTTAAAGTAATTAAAAAAACACAAGCGCTGCTCACTGCTGCTCATCTCACTCTGACTGGACTCACGTGATGCTTGTTGTCATAGTAATGCCTTCACTAAACTGACATTCTCATCAGATTGTTGAGTAGAGTGAGCATATAGACACCTCGGTCTTCATCTGTCAAGATGTATTAAATCGGATTGGCAGAAATCTTTGCATGTAAACACAGCCTTGCCACCTGTTGCATTTGTAAACCATTACTATTGTAAGTTTATACACCTCCCTCATTCCTTGCCTGTATTTTTTGCTTTTTTTCTCTCTTCACAGCGGAAGAAGAAAGAACCAGTTGTCTGGAACTATGCCACATACAAACAGGCAGTACGGAAGGCGATGTTTGCTCGTTTTAAGGAGCTGGAATGATTGCCACAGCGTATGAGGAGGAAATTAATGAAATAGATCCACTCCCAAAAAATCAAAAGCATTTCTTTCGGCAGCTTGTTTCAGACGTTATTCTGTAAGCTAGCAGACAATTCCTGGTGAATCACTTTGTGACTGATCTCCATTTTGTGGTTTGGTTTTTGTGCCTGTAATTGTTATGAACACATTTTTTCCCAGCAGCCCTAAGTCCTGAGTTCTGCTGTACAGGCCCTTTTTGTAGCTCTATTGTTCAGGGCTTTTAAACACTTTTATTTTCCTTACTTGATCTCAACTTTGTATCATGTGCATTGTGTTTTAATGCCAAAATGAATCAGTGAGTATTTACAGCTCACAAAACTTACAACTGTAGTAGTCCATGAGTCAATAAACTGTCTCTTTGTGACTGCCAAGATTCTGCTCTTTTGAGGTTAATCTTAAATTTTATTGTTACTCGAGAGATATAAGTGGTCTTTCCATGGAAAATGTCAGAATAGCAGCAGCAAAGAAGCTGAGCTTAGAGGACATTCTCTGCTCTAACCTAATTCAATTGCGGTTGCGCTCTGGTGGCTTTTAATGTACTGGGAGATTTTAATGTGCTGAGATCACGTCCCAGGGGGATCTGATGCGGCCGTCGCACTGTACAGAAGTGTAAAACTGTATCCACTTATACTGTTTTGTGTCTGTGCTGTTATCCGGTGTCGACCAGAGGAGGATGGGTTCCCCTATTTGAGGCTGGTTTCTCTCGAGGTTTCTTCCTCCTGTTGAGGGAGTTTTTCCTTGCCACTGTCGCCAAGGCTTGCTCACTGGGGGCGTGGACCCGGATTCTCTGTAAAGCTGCTTTGTGACAACATCTGTTGTAAAAGGCGCCATATAAATAAATTTGACTTGACTAAAGTCACATTCTCATTCTCCAGCTTCTTGTTCTGAATTTTCCCGCTCCACCTTAATTGGCGCCTGATGTGCCAGAATGTAACTGCTGCACCATTTAAGGTGGAACGGGAGAATTCAAACAAGCGAATGAGAAACTGACTTCAGTTTTGTGACTTTTTACAGTTTGACAGTTTCTCACTGCAGATTAAACATATCAGGAAACCAGCTGGAGTGATAAAAATGCAAATAAGTCCATTCGTCTCCAAATTATCAACATTCATCTTAAATCTTTCTCTTTGCCGTTTCGTTAGCTACTAGCTCGGCGAGACTGTTAAGTGTGTTGCTATGGTGACCAGAAGTCTGCACACCAACCTTCAGGGTTAAAGGGTGAATTAGCAGTTCTACATTAACTCCAGTGTTTAAAACCATTTATTGTTAAACTGTGTTGAACGATCAGCAGAGCTTTATTTTACTGTAAGAGAGGATTATTTGATTTTCATCTAAAAATCTAATTCTGGTGTGGAGCCACGACAGGGCAGTAAAAGAGCGGCCCACTGATCTGGGCAGTAGTAGTTTTTGCTTTTAAAAAAAAAAATACCATATAGCATTAGAACAAATACAAACATTAATGCAGTACAAAGTAACAAGAAGTTCTTGGAGTTTCTCATAATAAAGTACTTGATATCTTTTTAAAATGGAAAGAGGAACACATCTAGTTCCAGATTTCTCCAGCCATGCATAGATTTATTAAATTCCATCAGCAGCACCTGATTTAATTTAATGAAGTATTGATAAGCTAAATTGAGCTAAACCAGGTATTGGATGATGACTACAAATAATACTAGGCTTCCTCAAGGGGAGGTTTGAAAATGGTTAAATGAACACATTGTATTAATATAATCTGTATTTATTCTAATAGTGCTTTTATTCCTTTACTGCCCAGTTAAATGGCTCTTTAAGTGTCTTTCTCAGGTTCCTAAGGTTTTGGCACAGTACTGTATTTATCTGTACATTTAGAATGAGTGGTCCACCATATAGTGATGACAGCGATACCACCCAGACATTTATTACAGGCTCTGGAGGCTGTAAATATACAAATGCTACCTGTTTATGTCTTGTGGCTTCCAGAAGGACAAAGACGTTCACCAGAATAAGGAGACTGCACTCCTGCGAAGAATCTGATTTCTCCACTGGGTGGCAGTATAGAGCTGTTCTGCTTTTAGCACTGCCATGCGCTGACAGGACTCCACAGATCAGTGGCATTGTTATTCTGTCAGCAAACATTTCACTTTATAGTTACATCAGTTCTAAACCCTTTAAGACTCCTGACATTAGGGATGCAGTGATATGGGAACTGTGGATACTATATTCCATGTACATATCAGCTGATGGCGATGCATAAACATAAAACGTAGAATTTGGGAATAAATCTACCTGAATCAGCAGAACAGAGAAATGTAATATGTATTTGTTAGAGGTTTACAAATGCGGTAAAATACAGATATTTTAGTGCAGTAACCCAGCGTCACCTAAAGGTTCTGCTCTTCTGGAGTACAACAAATGCATCATCAAAGATTGGTTTGAAATATTAGCAACATCTAAACATTTGTCTGATGCCTCGTTATGTATTAAATCAAATATCTGCTGTTTAGGTCTGTAATTCCAGAGTAATTGTGAACAGAGTTTGTTTTTTCTGATGTAGTTCTATAATTAAATCAGTCTGTTAGAACAGGAAACAGGAGCACAGCATAGGCAGAGAGAACATTCCTTTAAAATGTGTCTGATGCGTCTTAGCAGATGAGTGATGATTAATACTTTTCTGGATATTTTAATCTACGAATATGTGGATTTTACAGTGTTGTGACTTAAAGGGCTCAAATCATGAAAAACATATATATTAATGAAGCCAGAAGAAAACCTTGTATCTCTACTTTTAATGTGAATCAATGGAAACCAGACTTTTTTCCAAATCACTTTAGGTCATTTCTGTTGGTCCATGAAATTTACACACAATGTGAAGGACAACAGGCTTTTTTTCAGATTATCAAAAACTGAAAAACGGACAAAAAAACAAAAAAGAACATATGAGGTTTTCTTCCGACAGCAGTGATATACGCACAAGGCATTTGGAACGTTTTCAGACCCTTTAATTTTTTTCACATGTTATGTTGCAGCCTTGTGTTAAAATAAAAATATTCAAATTTTCCCCAGGTGTGCAAACTTTGTGGTATCATACCTAAGAAGACTGGGGCTGCAATAGCTGTCATAAGGGTCTAAATACTTATGTCAATGCAATATTTTAGTTTTTCCTTTTCAATAAATTTGTCATTATGGGGTATCGAGTTCAGAGTGATGGGGGAAAAACTTTTTTTTTTTATTTTAGCACAACAAAATGTGAAAAAAGTGAAAGGGTCTGAAGACTTTCCGAATGCATTGTACATATACACAGGGCAGCCAATCAGAAACAGAGGTCATTTACATGCATGTAAAATGTGAAGGCACCAAAGACAACAAAAAACAGCCTGTTTAATAATTATATAGAGAGGTTGGAAAATAATCATGTAAAAATGAATTATGACTGTTTGTGGTATATATAATCACACACACACCTCATAAATAGAGCTTGAGAAAAATATCAATATGTGACATATAAATATGTGACTGGTCACACAAAGAACCCTCAGCGTAATTCATGTCTGTTTCTTTTTATTCCTTTGAAACATTTGGATTCTGACAGCATTCCCATTAACGATCCTCAGACAAGGGAGCTGCATTTATCACATTTCGAGCAGGTCATCCAGCACACTGGTGTGTTTGTAGCTGCTCACTTAAAAAAACATGCTGAACAAGTCAACAGAGAGCAGAGGCTCCATGATCTCCAGCTGAGGCAGTTGGGGTGGAGGTCAAGGGCGGCTAGCAGGTAATAGATCACCCAAACCTGTTACAAGTAAACCTCGGTCATCCACGCAATGAGTGAGTGAACATTTCCTCAGCGACTGAGAAAGCTGGCTGAGTGAGAGGAATCTGCTCTCCCGCTGTTTGTTTTGGGTGATCATGCTTGATTGATCAGGCCAAAGAGGGAGAGGAGAGTCAATAAGCAGAGTTTCTGTTCTTTAATCACTCAGACTGACTGCTGAAGTTTTGCTAGGGAAAATTAAAGGGCATATATCCTACATTGTTGTTGTTTTGTTTATTTATTTATTTCCTTTTTTGGTACCAAAAACAGGAGACATTAATTTCTAGAGTTTTAATTTCCAGACTCTCTTTATCACTTAGAATTAAACAGATACAGATTATGTCAGATTACAGCAGTCTGCAAGATGTGTTTAATCTTGGACTGCTTTTTGAATGAGGCACAATACAGAGTAGCCAATCAGAACAGAGGTCATTTACGTGCATCTGTTTTAAATGCACATAATAAAATAAATGGAGCTATTTATATTGATTGGTTCAGAGCCGTTGTAAAATCCATGATATACACACACCTATGACCACGCCACAGCATGAAAAACACCCTTGTGCTGTTAATAGAATAATCTTTGACTCTAATGCTGCTCGCATGGACCACTGAGTACATTGATGGAGTAAGAACCCGTTTCTGTTTAAACTGAGGGGCTGACTACTTATGTTCTTAACTAGAACTAGGCTGGTCAGCTGGCTAACGGGCTAAAAGATCTAAAACATCAGCCTAAACTACTCCATCATTAATATCACAGGCTTGAATTAAAGCACTTACGGTATGATTAACTATAAAACAGCAGTATAAAAGTCTAAAAAATGTCACTTGAATGGATTCAGTCAGAAGTCACGTCAAATCCTAAACGGCTCTGTACTCCCTAAATAGTGTGCTTGCTATGGAAGTTTAGAAATTCTAGCCTCTGCAGCCAAATAGTGCATCATTCCCTGAGGATCAATGTGACTGAATCCCAAATGACTATTTCTAAGCAATATTTTTGCACAGTTGGGGTGCAGGAGGCAATAATTAAGTTCCATACTCTAAAGAAACTACAGTTCTGGGTGGAATACTTGTTTATGTTGATTATTACTAATAATAACAAATTATTTTCTGAAAAATTGTGTATTTTATCATAGTTTATGTCGGCCGCCATTTCATAAAAGCAAGAAGCCTCTTGAGGCTTTTATCACAGAGAAATGAGTTTTACTCCGCTTCACATTATGCCTAAGAACACCCTACCCATGATAAAATCACAGCAACGCGCAGCCTCTCATAGCTTATTGCTTTAGTAACAAAAAACAGCCTGTTTAATTCTAAGGCAATGTACTTTAGTTTATGTGTATGGACTGTATAGACGTGAATCAATGTTTACATATCACACCAAACTTTTTTTTTTTCCAAAAAGCGAGGAAAATTCAGTTTTCCCTGATGTAGACCCTTTAAAATACCTGCTTGCATTAATGAACTGTGATTAATGTCTCTAAC